TGTCCTTAATCCTCCTCCACCATTGCCAGACTGCTCTTTTGCAACATGTGGTATTTGATAACATTGTTTTTCAAAATGTTATAATTGGCTATGTTTCGATCATGTATTCTGAATCTGTATTTCTCCACTGACCCAATAATCCTGTTTTGTAGTTTTCTGTTTCCTGTTTTGTACCGAGCACAATGCACGTCCTTAAAGATAACATGGCCGGTGAGAACTGCTTCACATATTGGGAGACAGCGGAAACTTCTTTGTTCTATCAGTTACTTTAGATACATGCCTTTCGGACAACACACACACACATTTTGTATTTGATCCAAGCAGTTTCTGTTTACATTTCAGTGAACTTCCACGTAAACAGTGGTTAACCTGTTTACATCACAGTAACTGGCCAATTAACCTTGGTTGCGTACAAATCCAACCTCTGTTCGGGGCAGGCCCAGCTCAAGAAGATAAATGTGAATCATTTCTTGATATCGGGGCTCCTTCTGATAGAGCTCTCGTGAGGGCTCTGTCACGCTGAGCCCAACGCTGCCTCACTTCAGCTGTGACCTAGTTAAATTCTACATCTGTGAACTGAAGATTTCTCAGGTTTGTTCTTGGGCTTCCAACTAAAGAATTGTAGAAGAAAAATGTTCTTTAAAATCTGCCAGTGTAACTCGGGTGTGGTTTCTATGTTTCTCTTCCCTGGCATTTTCCAGTAGAGATGTTTAGACCTCATACTCAACAAATCACTATTAAATTTCTTTCTGTATTTTTTTTTTCATTGTAAATTTCTTTTATACTCTGTACTTTGATATTTCTGTATGAAGTATCTGTTTTCCTGTACTACATTCATATTCCTTGTCTCAAAATATTCAGCTCCAAATTTCTCACCACTAGACTGATATCAGTCTAGAATGGCTGGAATTTCAGATTGCTCAGTCTGTGCTGGGGGGAAGTGCTGCCCCATGCGACGAGTTTATTTATTTATTTTTTATACTTTAAGTATCTTGAGATCTTGTTAATGAGTGATGGGAAAATGGAGGTGGCTTGGTGCAGCATCAGCAGTCATGCCGGCATTATACTGAGCCATCGTGATGAAGAGGGATTACCAGTCAATCTGAATTCCAACCATCACCTGTGGTCACAAACTCTGGGTAGTGATCAAAAGAATGAAATTGCGGGTACAACCACCTGAGACTAGTTTGCTCCTTAGGTTGGCTGGGCTCAGATGTAGAGATAGGGTGAGAAGCTTGGACATCTGGAGGGAGCTCGGAGTAGAGTCGCTGCTCATTTGCATTGAAAAGAGCGAATTGAGGACGTTAAGACATCTGATTAAGATGCCTTCTGGATGACTTGTGTTGAGATTTTCCAGACATATCCCCCTGGGAGAAGACCCCAGGGTAGACCCAGAATTTGCTGGACAAAATGCATGTCTTCTCTGGCGTGGGAATGCCTCTGGATCCCCCAGGAGGAACTCGAAAGGGTTGCTGGGGCAAGAGACGTCTGGAATGACCTGCTTCACCTGCTGCCTCTGCCATCTGACTCCGGATAAGTGGAAGAAAATGAATGGATCGATGGATAGACTAAGATCAATCAGTTTCCCAAACTGTTAACTGATATTGTAAAAGTATTTCGCATAAGAACACAAGCAATATAATCTCCTAGTACCCAAGAGTGAGCAAAGTAGTTGGATGATTGCGACACACTGCTTATCTTCGGGTTTATTACTGATTCAGAATTATCCTGCTGTATACGTCATAAGTCTTTAATTTTGAGGTTATACACTTCAGGTTGCACAGAAAATTCCCTAGTCCTCATATACAATATCTATTTGCAAATTACTGTCATTTAAAGAAGGTTGCTAGGACAATACTATGATAGGT